ACAATAAGCTTATTATATTATTAGTAGTGGGAGAATTCTAAACCCCATTTGTTCAATTATGGTCTCTTCAATATGCTTATTTAGGTTCTTGTAAATTGTAATCAGTAAATTAGATGTGCTGCCCTCACAGCTCTAGGGTTAGCTTTCAAGGGACTTCCTACATTATTTTTTTTTTAATGTTTATAGTGAAATCAAGAAGGGAATTAGTTGTTTGATATGCAAGGTTGCTCTGTGTAGTGGATGCTGGCTGCATTCTGATATCTATCATTACTAAATGAAAAACAGTTGTGATGCTGCAGCACTGCTGTCTGAGCAGAGTAATCTCAGAAAAGGCTAGGACTGTAACCATGTTATGTGCTGTGTGATAAAAATGGTAGCTAAAACCATTAAAATGAACACAGGCTGATAAATGAGACCATTGTAAAGTCTCCAAAAGCCAGCATATGTTGCTAATAGTTATCTGAGGTAATGCAAGAGGGATGTAAAATCCTCAGTATCACCTTCTATATACAAATATCATCTGTCATTTCTTTTTGTGGTATTTTTACCCTTTTCTTTTCTCTGTATTTTGCCTTGACAGTTTAATATTGAGCATTTGGTACTAAACCCAATCACCTACCTGAGTCATACAGCGCTTTTTCTTTCCTCTTTACCTTTCTAGATGGACTCTAATTTGCATCACGCAGAGACACCATTTTCAAAAGAAACACCTCTTCCCTTTCAGCTCATTTAACTGGAGATTTCAGCAGGTTTGGGAAACAGGCTCCTTCAGCCCTTTGCAAGTGCTTTATATGTCTTTGTAATTTAAAGAGCCTTTTGCCTTCCTGAGAAGTGGTGTCTGTTTTTTCCGTGCAGATAAATTGTGTATTTGTTGCAATACTAGGTCATACAAACTCCAATATCCTGACCATATTGTCCCCATTTATTTCTTTTATCTTTCTGTTTAATATAATAGGAATAGCGGCTGAGGCAGGGAAACATATGCAGCAGCATAATAGTATATTGTTTGAAAGCAGTTGTCTTCCATTTCCAGTGTTTCTCTTTGAAATGTAATTGTCTGCTAATATAACTGGGAAATATTATTGCAGGAGAGATCACTAAAGCGTGTTCTTGTGCTTTTAGTTCATGTTACATCTCTCTAGTATTTTTAAAAGAAACTGGACGCAACCTTAGCTAGTTAAATATCATTGGTGAGATATCTTTGTAGAAGTTGTGATAGGCATATTGTCACCGAATGTGGAAACAACTCCATGTAGTGCCAAAACAAGAAACACTGTGTCCCATGTGTAATGCAGCAACAACAGAATTACAATTGCCTTGTGTAAAGTATCTGGTAATGAAGGCAGATAATGGAATTCTTTGCAAAAGCAGATGCTAACTGGCTCCCCAATGCTAGGCAGAGAACTGAAAAGTGATACCAGCTGGAGGGGAGAAAAAACAGCTGAAAAAGGCATTAAAAAGACGATGCCGTAGATGCACGTTTGTTTAAGCAGTAAATACTTGTTTAAAATAATCTTATGAGATTCTTATTAAGAAGCAAACTGAGAATACGATTACGATGTTATAGGAAGTCAGCTGGATGCCCAAAGGATATTTGTATGCAGATTGGATGAGTAACGCAAGGACACCGCTGGGAATAGCGCGTTATCATTTACACTGCAAGGCTGGCTGGTGAGGACAGCCCTTGGAAGTGTTTAATTGCAGGAGGTGGGGCTTGCGAGAGCCAGAACCTTCTGTTGTTCAGGGAGGAGACAGCACGCCCTGCTAAGGGAGGCTTGACTTTAGAAGCAGGGGTGTCTCTGCTCGTCCCTACACGCACGAACATGTACACACGTGCTTGTGTCTTCTCCAGCAGCACTCGCTGACGGTGCCCTCCTGCCGGGCTGGAAACAGCACTCAGCACGTAGCATCCTTGTTGTTTCCTCTGTTGTCTCCCACTATTTTACCACTCCAGTCACCTCAGCCATTTCAGATAGTTGCTTCGTAAATGAATGTGATAATTTAGTGAAGGACTTAGTCCACACAGAAGTTTCCTTTTGTTGTAAATACAGATTTTTTTTCAAACACAAACATGCAGTGGGGAAAACCCTTTTAAAAGAAAACAGAACAAAACTCTTAACAAATAGAGCAACTTGACGACCCGTGGAGTTGGTCTCTTTTTTTTTTTTTTCCCAGATAAATTTTTCTTTACCCAAAGAATTGTTCCCACAGTGGTGGATTACTGGTGCAGCTGGAGTGCCAAGCTGGACATCGACTCACCAGGGTTTCCAGTCCTGACCCAGTGCAGGCAGACCAGAAAGCTCAGTGTGGCTCTGTCTCATCCCAGGCAATTGCCCTAACTACTAATTTTTGGAGGATTAAAACTTACTTTTAGTTTCAGCCCAACACGGAACAGGAATATTCACGTACTTCTGAGCAGCTAACATTTTTCCCATGTGAGAAAACTCATTTTGGGCTGCTCCAGCAAGAGGAAACACCATGGAGTCTACAGACGTACTACCGGTAGTATCAGAATATATACTGGTAGTATCTGATACTGGTAGTATCAGAATATATACTGGTAGCAACTGATACTGGTAATACCAGGAGACAGTTGTGTGCAGGTAGAGGCTGGAGCAGTGTGTCCATGTGCTGTGTCACAGAGCTGCTCCTGCATCAGGCTCATGTTGAGGAATTTCAAGGAGTTTTACTGACAAGCAAGAAATGAGTTTTGAAGCAGTCTCTGGAGATTTGCAGCTTCATCCGTGCAGTGTTTAAGGGTGTGTGTTCTCTTTGCTCCTTCACCTCTTTTCTGTGCCTCCTGACTGCGAGTTGCTGAAAGAATGCTTTAGCCGGGTTCTTTCCTCCTAGCAAATGAAAATGAGATGTGTTGTCTGTGCAAAACGAGCAACAGAAGGAGCTGTGGCAGAGCAATGATCAGTCAAGAGCATCCCTCCAGAGCACCGATTCTTTGCTTTATCAACAAAAGTGCAACCACTAAGAAATCCCTTTTCTGCTGATGACCTGTTCTTAATATTCTTACAGCTGGGATACGCTACAGCTACTTGCAGCGCTGTAATGAGTTGTTCGTCTAATTGTGGTGGGCAGAAAATGTCTTGGTGCTCTTCGGGTCTGGACTTTGCTTAATGAGAAAAGAATGTTAAACCTCAGCGGTGTGAATGAAACACGTGCGGCTGCGGATCTGCTGTGCTTTCAGAAGCCCCATTTTCAAGACCTTTCTTCACCTGCTGTTTTTCGGCAGGAGATATCCTGCATACTAAGCAGAAAAAAGCCACTTTCCAAATCCAAGTAGCAAATCACATCTCTATTTACGTTTTGACCGCATTAGTTAAGAAATATATTAAAAAACTGTGGAGCTACCTGGATTACAATTTAATGCAGTTTAGATGAATTTTTGACATATAATTGATAGTAAGAAGTGAGGTTTCTAATTTTTCCTGATATTCTGATTTTGTGCAGACCTCTGTAGGGTTTTACAGCTTTCCAGGGATAACATCTCACCCTTAATATACATCCCTAGGATTTTAGGCTTAGGCTCCAGGGCGCTGGGGATTTTGAGCATGGCAGGAAAATTTGAGCCTGTAAATGCAGCGATGGGAGAGCTGGTTCTTGTCCATGTTACTCTAAGTGTAGGAAGTGCTCTGGGGTGCATCTGGGGTTGGAGACAGGAGCCTGCTCCCCCTGTCCCAGCCGTCTGTGCCGCGGCACGAGGGGCTGCTGCAGCTGGTAGAATCGCTGAAGAAGGGTCCTTGGAGAGGACAGCTGCTGGGGTGGACCCAAAACCACCCTGGCAGCCTGCACAGGGGCTGTGGAAGGAACACCTCTACTTCACTATCTTCTCAGCAGTTTTTATTCACTTTTAGTTGCTTCCCTCCCCCCTTCCCCAGCTCCTTTCCCCCTCCCTTGTTGTCATGGGAACATTCACTACAGTGGTTAAATCATGGTATTAAAGTATACTTTCCCAGTAGAATGGTAATAGCAAATATTGATCTAGCTACTGCTGCTGACTCAGGGATATAGCTGAACATACAATATCTCTTATTTCACTTCTTAATGCATAATGCAGTGGTTTCTTTCACCTTGGACTCTGTGCTAAAGGTGACAGCCAGCCACAGCAAAATATTTTGACTTGTTTTTCTTTAATGTGTGGCCCAGCCAACACATTGGATGCAGGTGGTGTTACAAAGCTGACTTTAAAATCTGCAGAGGACAGACAGGAAGAAAAATCACCCTTGCTGTGATTGACCCTCGCAAGCAATAGTTATAGATGTTTGTATGCCAGTGAAAAGACATTCAGATTAAACTGTCAGCACCCACAGACACACAGTGTGCTCCCAATAACTTTGTAAGTGTATCGCGCTCTGTCACAGAAATGGTTGGAATGTAGATGAAAGACAAATAACTACCTTAATATCAAGTGAGGCTGCATTTAAAAATGTGTTCATTCATATACATTGTCACTGACATCTGCTTTGAATAATCACCTGCACAGTAGCACGTAATGTTAAGCAGAGCATGGTAAGCATATTCCTGAGTCACCAGAAAGGAGCAAAAGTAAAAGATTCTACCTTGAGATGTGAGTTTGCAGTAATTCGCAATGTAAGCATTTCAGTTTCCCACAGTGGTTAATTAACCAGCTCTAACTTTATGAGAGTTTCCTGAAATTGATAGGTTTTGTAAGGTAAGATTGAGGTGCCTCTGGAATTCCCTTGTTTACCCTCCTTTCAAAAAATTTTTGGTCTAGAACCAGCCTGTTGTACAAATAATTAAAGTAATGCAGTTTTGATGTAATTAGCATCTGCACTGGATGCTGCATTTTGGTGTGTGAGTGATACAGGCACAGCAAATGGCATTTTAGAGTCTGTGCTGGGAAGATCCCTGTTAACAAAGAGTAGGTGCTGAGAAGCCATCAGTTTCTGGCGTGTTTCTATAAGTTCTTGAACATCTTCATGCACGTTATTTTATGTTATAACTCATTGCGTGTTTCTTGATCTTTCTAGAAAAAATCAGGCAAAGATATGCAGATCTACCAGGGGAGTTGCACATTATTGAGCTTGAGAAAGACAAAAATGGGCTCGGACTGAGTCTTGCTGGCAACAAGGACCGCTCTCGTATGAGCATCTTTGTAGTTGGTATCAATCCAGATGGACCTGCAGGACGAGATGGAAGGATGCATATTGGCGATGAACTTCTAGAGGTAAGTGTTTCCTTTAACTACCAAGCAGGGTTCATATGGAGAGAGGGAGAGGCATATGTGAAACTATCATTTGAACCTTAAATAAAGTCTGCAAATAGAATTAGGTGGCTGAGGCAAGGAGCTGCACTGATTTATGCCAACTGAGAACTTGGCCTTTGGCAGGTAAATGTGTTTTCAGTGAAACAAAAATCATTGGCCTGTGAAAACTAATGTCTTGTCAGTGAAGGCTGTGCTCTCAGCATGTTCAAAAGCTATGCCTAGGGAGGGACTGTTGAAAGGCAGGAAGGGGACAGTAAATCTATCCCTGTAGTGCATATGTGGTTTCATAGGGAAATTCACACCTTACATTAAAAAAAAAAACAAAACCCCCTCAAAGTTACCATATGTGTTTTTACAGATGACAGGGATATTCCCCATCCTGAAAATAAATTTCATGCTGTAATCTGTTTTGATCTGTTGTAACTTAAAATACTTATTTTCTTTAGTCGTGTCTGGCACGAGTTCACCCACAAGGCAAGAGAGCTCGTTAGCAAGTAGAGTATTTTGTCTTCACTTTTTCTCCTATCTCCTTGCTTCACCTTCAGATTGAAAATGCAGATTTCCTGCACTTCATCTGATTTTTGGCTGTTGCACAATGACACTTTGCTGCAGTACCTGCAGTGGTTCCCCACATCATGATTGCTTCAGCAGTTTAAAAAAATCAGCCATCCCTGGGGATCTTTCCTGTAGAGAGAAGCTTTCCTGACGAGCAAGTACATGCTGACCTACTGCTCTCCACGGGTGGTGATTTTTCTCATCTTTCAGCAACTCTCTGTGCCATCAGAGAACCACCTATTTTCTCATGTTTCTTGACTTGAGAAGGAGCAGTTTGCCTGGGGATGCCTTGGGAGTACTCAGAATTGTCTAGGCGTTTGTCATTGTCTAACAGTTCTGTAATTATGGGTTTTCAATACACATAATACAAGAAAGACTATTTTGCTATAATAATAACACCATCTGAAGTTTATTATTTTCTTTTTAAGTGTGAGAAATGGTATGAAGGTCTATACCATACCGGTGTAGGTAGGAAAATTACTTTCTCCTTCAATTTATGTTATTTCCGTCCTTGGCACCAAATTCTAATGGTTAAAAAATTTTAAATTGTCAGATTTTGGATTTGAAAGCATTCATGGTACCATTTTCCTCTGTACATATAGACCAGGTAGTTCCTGGCAGAGGAAAGATAGAGCCTTTTATATCAATACTTTCCCACAAAAAAGGATCCACTGAAATTTTCTCATATCTCACAAGTTATTCCTTGCAGTGTTTGTTTGATCTAATGTTAAGTGTTGCTAGCAGTACTTGAAAGATGCACCATCTGTGATTAATCACATATATCTCAAGGCTTGGGATTTGCATGCTTGAGCTTTGTCATAAGTAACATTTTCCAAAGTGGTGGTGTTGCCCTAATTCTTCTTGCTGTCAAGTTGGAGGTAAAATAATTTTTTTTTTCCAGTGGAAGGAAAGTGATGTTCACCATCTCAAAAATGCCAAACTTCAAATAAACTCAAGTTCAAAGAGACTTTAGTAACTACTTCTCTTGTTTACCTTTGCAATCAAATTAAAGGTGTGTCACCAGTGGGCAGAAGTGCGATTACTTATATGAAAGGATGTGGTGATCTCATTCTGGTCCCCAGTGACTACGTATCCAGTGTCAAAACATCCTGTATTACAAAGGAATGGGTTGTGCATTAGTCATGTACAAACGTCTCATGTTCACACCAGTGGTCAGTTATTCACAGCTCTGTTTTTTTGTCTTTTAAAAGCATTTCAGTGTTATGTGAATAGCACTGAAATGGAACTAATGGGCATTTACACTGGTAGGTTTTTTTCGGTAACCATTAGGTTCAATAACTGTTTCAGCAACCATTAGGAATCCTCATACCCAACAAATATTTGGGTCACCGAGGCAGAAATATCACAGAATGCTTGGGCTGGGAAGGGACCTTCACAGGTCATCTGGTCACCAACCCGCCTTGCTCAAGCAGGGCCATCTCAAGCCAGTTGCCCTGGACTGTATCCAGATGACTTTGAAATATTTCCAATACAGTTTCATGCTACTTCCGTGCCAGTGATGCAGAGGTCAAGGTGGTCTACTGGCTTTACTTGTAGTGGTTTTTACAACAAAAAGTGTTTAAAAGAGCATTATGGGCAAACTCAAGCGTTCAGAAGTGAGATATGACAGAACCCAGATTGTTTGGTTTTCTCCCATTAAAGACATAAAATTAAAGACTGGGAGTATGGTTGTTGGTCACAGAAGTGTTTTCTCTCTCCCATGGTATCCTTCCCTCATTCAGAGACCCGGATGGACAGTGTTTACTGATGAAGCAACTTAACTCCTCTTCCTTTGGGTAGCGCTTCACTGCATAGAATCACAGACTGGTTTGGGTGGGAAGGGACCTTCAAGATCATCTAGTTCCAACTCCCCTGCTCCACGCAGGGACGCCTTCCACTAGATCAGGTTGCTCAAAGCCCCAGCCTGGCCTTGAATGTAGGTATTAAATTGGTCTGCCTGCAGACTGAGCTGCTGGCCATTCCCACTGGTCAAATATTTAGCTATTCGTAGAAGAAAAGGTGTTGGAATTTGCAGCCACTTCCATTCATAAGCATTTAAGGTAATTTTCCCTGGTATTCTCATCTTCATCAGCAAATAAACCACCCTCAACCCTCATCTTAACTGCATGTTTCAAGTATATTTTCATCTACATCTTTGATTACACATCAGTTTTGAATACTAGAGCATATGGGCAAGAGAAGGGATTCACATCTTAGGACTCCTCCAGCATTTCTGCACTGTCCTGGGGTGTCCCAGTGAATCCTGTCGGTTAGTGTTGCTCCATTAAAACAGTGGATACTACTGCAGTGTGTGCAGATTATTCCCCGTGGCTGTTGATGGAAGTAAGGTTAATGGAATGGAGACATAGATAGTAGATAGATAAATAGATATTACCTTTTCATTTTTCTTTTGAGTTGGAGTTTGATTGGATTCAATTGGAGGATGTGGGATGCTGCAAGACTGCCTCGGCTCCTTATTCATAAAATCTTTTGTCACTGATTTGATGAAATATCATCTCACTTTTAGCTTCTGCAAACAGCAGTAGTCTTTTGGGAGCACGATCCTGTCTCGTTTTCAAAGACAAACCAGCCTACACATTGGGTGAAATGCGGGTCACATACAGTTTTTTAGTGTAATCATTATTTTTTTAATACATCTTCTGTGATGTATTTTGGATGGTTATGTTACTGGAGAAAACAGTTTCTTGAGGGAGAAGGTCCTTTCATCTTACTTTCATACGTGGATGAAAATTACTTTGGATCAGAATTTTGTCCCTCTGCAAAAGAATGTATTTTTTACATGACACGAGTTCTGCTTTTCAGTTCTTTTTCCAAGCAAAGAAACCATCTGTGGCGTTCCTGCCTTGCACTCTTGCTGTTTTAGTGCAGGTGTCTGCACTGCTTCGTATCTTATTAGTTTGGGCTTAGTCCTGCGACTGATTGTGCCCAGCATGGCCCGCAGCGCGTTCACGTGGTGCTGTACCTGTGCTGTTAAGCCCTGCTGCTCGTGAACTCAGCATGTGTCTGTCCTGTGGGGAGGTTTTATTCACACTGAATAATCCACCCTGTTATTATTATCATCTCTCCATAAGAGAGTGAACTGCATTCTGTTAATAAACCAAGCTGTGCAGAGCCCTGTTATGCGAAATTACTGATGTTGGGATTTTCTGCCATCTTCCTGACCCTGCTTATCTTGCTGAAAAAGAGGCAGGAGGTAGAAGGAAACTGTGTTTGGATGTTTTGCTCTAGGAGGCCACAGGGCTTCTTGAAAGAGTGAAAGCTAGTCTTCATGGTCAACAATTGCTGTACAAGTTAGTCCATTCTGGACTGTTGAGTGAGAGGCAATTACATTTTTTTCCTTTTTTATGCTGTTTTTGTCATAGCTCAGAGCCAGAGGGCTTTTCTGCTATTCTGCTAAATGTATTTTTATTGCTATTTTATTTTAAGATTCTCAGATAAATGTAAGTTATGCTGTAATAATGTAATAAATACAGCAGTATTTTGCTTAAGTGAGTGAACTACCAAGCCAAATTCATAATACCACTTCTGTTTTAGAATGTGGGGGATTGACATTTTATTCTCAGTTTATTTGTTGTGGGCTTGTTGGGTTTTTTCCTGTGTCAAGACAGTTACTTTGGATTAGTCAAGTGGCACTGTCCCTCAAGACAGACAGTAAGTTGAACAGACACAGTGAGGTTTTCAAGAGTCATCTTGAACGATTAACTCTAGCGGTGCTTTTATATTTTTTTTATTCCTTTTCAAACACAATAGTTATAGCTTCTGTTCTTCTCAGATTCATTTACTGAAGGTAACCTCGAGCGGTAGCGTCCTTTTGGTCTTTTCACAGGAGGATACAAATTTTTTTTTCGTGTACTTTGGATACAGGTTACCCATTAAGGTTAGTGTTGGGTGGTGATTTTTAAAGCTGCTAATAAGGTCAGGCTGTAATGGGAAGGCTGGTTGTGCACGAGGGCGCAGGCAATCTGTGCTTTCCTCTCGTCCCGTCTCTCTTTCCACACTCTCCAGGCAGGGAACCACAGGGGGCAGCTGCCTGCCAAGCCAGCAGCAAAGCTGAACTCCAGCGCAGGGCAGGAGATTTTCTCTCTTCATGGAATTTATGGTCTGTTGATCACTTTAGATGATGCACATGTTTGAACATGTGCCGGGCAAGATATTTGGTGAGGAAAGAAGGATTCACATTCTAATTAATTATTTTTTTCTTTCCAGTGTTTGCCTAATGCTTTATTATGTGGAGTTTGGTGGATTTTATGGGGTTTCAGTCTATAGAATTTGACTGATCAAAAAGTTTTTGAAACTTTTCCTATTGTTTCAGTCTGGTTGTATCTCAAAATGCTACAATTCCTGTGGTTAGAAGGAATGTAATACATTGGTACAAAGAAATAATTATTACAGAAAGCTATGCCAGTTCTTTTACTAGCTTTGGAGTATCATTTAACTTGATTTTCATAAAAATCAGATGATACTAATTTTATGGATTTCCGTTACTGCCACGTAGTGAAAACACTGCTCTCTTTAAAATATCCATTTCTAATGTTTCTCTTCTCCAAATTAAAGTTTAAGAAGCAAACAAGCCTTTAATTTTTTTTCTCTTAGAGTTCAGATTTCAGTTGAGTTTGAACTTTCTGCTACTTTAGTGTATGAAACTGTAAATCAAAAGTTTTGTAGGTGAAGGCAACAGTACATTTGGGATATGTGATAAAATCTGCCACAAAGCAGCGTAGGAGTTATATTAAGGCTTGAACTTAAGTGTGCTGACCTGACCTCGTACCTGTAGCATGTTTTTATCGTTCTCTGTTCTCTGCTGTCTTTCCAAGAAGTTATGTAAAGAGACATGTAACAAAGAGTTGAGGTTGATTTAGATCAGTTTATTTCTTTTGCTTAGTCAAAGTTTTGTTTTTCTTTTCTAATCTCTGATGAAAAAAGTAAAGCACAGATTTATAGATTTTGAATCCCAGAGTACTATTTAGTTAATCTGATGTGTTACTTTATTTAATTTGAAAGATTTAAAATGATGTTGCTTATGAAAAACTAGATGTTCTCTTTTTTGTTTAAGTAGGCTTTTGTGCTTTGCTCATCATTGTGCTATCCATAGCTAACGGAACATTAATTTACTTTGCAAAAGAAAGTGACCTTTTTTTAAAAAAAATTAGAAAAATTAATACTGGCTGTAATAACTATGTGGGACAGTCCAAAACCTTGTGGAGATATATTACTTTGATTATCCTTTCATTTTGATGTAATTAAATAATTATAACTTACAGACCTAGCTCAGTGCTAATTAAATTTTGGACTGATACATCTAGTGAATAGGATTAATTTAGCCAGAGTAAGGACTATAAATTTTAATCTAAATCTGCTGTTTAGAAAAATTGATGGTAATTTAACTAAATCCAAACAATTTGTAAAGCATACAGTATTCCCAGTGAATAATTTGTTTCTGAACTTAGAGAAATAAAGTCAACAAACTCACTGAAAGTTTCAATTCCACCTCGAAGCAAGAATGCAACTGAGCACTCATTTTTGCCACTGGATTTTTAAATTTATCTTTGCTTAACAAAGCATGGCCTAGGACGTTGCTTCTTGCCCTGTCTTTGCAACCATGGCAGTCGCAGACAGCATCATATTAAACCCTTACGAGTGTTGGCGTGATGCTGTTTCCTCGCTGCTGATCATTTCAGGCCAGCTCAGACTCTCACAGACCTTTCTTCCTTCTCTCTTTGTACAGCAGCTTGGAGGTAAATGATTTGTGCTTCGATTTTTAATGAATAATCAAGTGTTAGGAGTTTTACTCTTGGCCTTGCATTGTCCTTATTTAACTGATGAACTTGCATGTTGTTTTGACCCATTGAAAATGAGATGGGAGTATTGTGAAGTTGCCAACATGACCAAATAGCCTGTATGACACCAGGCTGTAAGACTTGGCCAGTTATTTCTTGTTTGAATGAAAAAATCTTCTAAGAACACAAAACCGAAATCCAATACAAACATTTGCAGTAACAAAAAGTCCTTCTATAACCACTGGTAAATTGTTCCTGGGCTCCATTATCATTATTGTTTTAAACAGCATTGGTATATCAAATGTGAATGTAAATATTATGTTGTAAATTAAGAGTGGGAGAAAAAAAATCAGTATTGAAACTAAACTGGCTGCTCACTTTGGAAGGGTGTATGAACACTCCAGCTCCAGAGAGAAGCATTAATCTAATCAAGATGCTTGGAGTGAGAATTTTGACAGAGTTAAATAGCAGATTATTCTGCACGCTTGGAAGCCTCTGATGCTTGCTTAGATGGCAAGACACAGGACGAGCTGAACCGTGAACCTGAACTAACATCATGATTCCAAATACAATTAATTTCAATTTTTTTTCTTCATCTTTAAAGTTTTGCCTTCTTTTTTGGACAAAATACAATATGTATTTAAATGTAGCTTTGAATTAGTTTCTGTGTTTGTGTTTACAGGTATTCAGGTGTAGGTGAAATACAGTTCTTCTACAGATCTTTGTTATCTTGATGCTTATTCTGATCTAAGTTGTCAAAGTTGAAGGAAGACAGCGCTGGTAGTCCTGGTCCCTGCTGTCAGGGGAGGATAGGAAAGCATCACCACCTTGCTGAGTGTTTGCTTCAGCTTAGTTTTAAATCTGAAAATCATCAGGGTATAATTCAAAAACTGCTCAAGGGTTTTGTTAATCTTGACGTAGTGGTTTTTTCCCATCAAACTCAGCTCAGCTTTTAGTCTCTTGAAATTTATCATGGCATTCATATCTACCTTATGTTCTGCATATGATCTTTGTGATTGTAATTTGTGCATTGCCTGAGCTGAAAGGCAAGCATCCTCTTAGGACACCTCTGAGGTGGGAGCTGAAGCCCAAGAAACTCAGGACATTGCGGGCAGGCCGAGATGGAGCAAGGTGTTAAACACAAGCCCTAAGCCCTGCCTGTGAAATGAATGAAATGCTTTAAATATTCCATTTTTACACTGCAGGTTATTTTTGTGGTGTGATACTGAGTATGCTTTTGGTTGACTTGGAAGTAACTGCTATATTCATCTCGGAGATGCTGTTGTCCTTGAAGTCCCACTCACAGAGCATGGCAGTGGGAGACAGGAAGGGTCTTATTTTCCTCCAACTGGGAAAATACTTCTAGTTTCTACAGAAAGAAAATCCCTGAAACGCATACTGTATTATAGCCAAGCTATTTCCCTCTGAAAACTGCAGCATTTGCTGTGTCTGTTGTGGTGCTTAGGTGTTTGATCCATCACAGCAAAAGTGATGTGGCATGTCCTTGAATTGTCCCTTTTCTCTGTGGCTGCTTCTTTAGTTTCCCTCAGTGGAACTGAGGACTTACCACAATCTTAACAGCAAGTTTTCCTAAACTGCCAGTTGCCTGTAGGTAAGATATAGGAGTGTCTGTCTCAAAATCTGTGCTGTTGTCATATCTGTATGATTCTTCTCAGATCAAGTCATCTTCCAAAAATTTTGGAACAATACTTAAAATCCATTCTATCCGTGAAAAGGAGTAAAAGATTTCTCTCATTTGTGGCTTACTAATAAGAGTAAATTAGCTCTGCATTGATTCCTGGTTTATGCTGGTCTAGAATAAAACTTAGAATGTTTTGCTATTAATACATAATTTTTTCTTTGATAAACTGGATTCTAAGATGTTGAAAATGTAATATTTTAAAATCTGCTCTAAGGCTGCATTTCTGTGGTCCACCATGGAATCAGTATGAGAAAGAGGGTATTCCTAAAATCAAATTAGGATTTATCTTTTCAAAAGGAATGATAAGAAAGCTGATGAGGAATTTCTATTGCTGCTGCTGAGTTGCAGACTGCAGCCCATGCTCCTCTGCTAGTTTGCTTAGGGAAGGGGCGACAGCCTTGGGCAGTCCAAGGCCAAGGTGAGCAGTGCTCATCTCCTCCTGTGTGCTTATCATCTGATGTCTTTCTGCAGCACAGCTGTGCCTGAAAGAGGCTCTTGGTGCCTCAGCTCTGGTATTTCTGTCTCTACAACACTGTTCAGATAGGTATATCTATCCATGCAACATTGGTACTCCTGTCTGGAAGAACCTTAAGAGCTGCAATCTATATTTTGTAGACCACATTTTCTTTGAGTCTTATCTCTTTATCCCACAGTAAATTTGGAAGTCTTAGTGGTATAAATTAAAACAATGCATACTTCTCCACTTACATGAAAATATTAATTTCCTTTTAACAGATCAACAATCAGATATTGTATGGAAGAAGTCATCAGAATGCTTCTGCAATCATTAAGACGGCCCCATCAAAGGTCAAGCTAGTTTTCATACGGTAAGAACAGTTCTCATCAAAAAATGTGTTTGCACTTTAGCCTATTATATTGCATATTTATATATTTACATATTTTCATTACATATTTACATGTTTGGAAAATGCTGAACTTGCTTAGTTCTCTTTGAAGTGAAATAAACCTTTTCCTTGACTCTTCTCAGGACAGTTAAATAGTTCTCCTTAATAATGAAAAAAAAAAAAATCTAGTGTAACAGTATGACTGTTTTGCTGAAGACTTGAGCTGTCCCTCTTGGGCTTGAGAACACCCTGATAAGAGCTTTTTCTCCCACAGCTTAAAGTGCTTTATGTTGCTTCTGCCAGGTCACAGCTTGCTTTACCCAGCCTGCCAGAAGGGAGTGACAGTGGTGCGGAGGCTTGGGGCTGGAGAGGGGGCTGCTGTGAGAGGAGCGGGCAGGTGTGGATGGAGTAACATGGAGCATGGGCTGGGTGGGTGTGTGAAGGTTAGCTTTGAATGGGCATCAAAAGAGGATTTAAAAAGTGAGCTAAAGCTTATTTGTACAGAGGGGGAACCTGACTTTGACAAGGAGCACTGGAACGGCTTCTGTAGGAGGGAATATGCTAAAACAATCTTTCATCTGCATAAGAATTAATTGTGGGCATCTTTTCTTTTACTCCAAGCACGAACATTTTTCCTCTTTGCATGTGAATTAAGGACCCCTCTGTGCATTCACTCTGTAGTTCAGGAAGTGTAACTCTCATGACCCTGGGCGGGAGGTCTGGGAAGAAGCTGCCTCTTTCCCATAACTCATATTTAATATGTTGGAATTTCATAAATGCATCTATTCCAGCTGTGACTTTCATTGGGCTCTTATCCCCGTGCTGGTTTATAACATGGTCTTCCCACCAACATATACATCATACTTGATGTTGTTTTATATTCTTTGCTCGTACGCAGCTTACCTGTGAACAATGTAATAATCTGTGGGTGAATGCATATAAATGTGTACATTTACTCGCATGGCTCTGTCTGGTACAGCATACACAGAAATGATGGAAGAGCAGCATTAGCTCAGTGACAAATGAGTTGCTATACTTGGCAGCACAGAGGATCTGGAGGAGATTAATGATCTTGCCTGCAGCTCCCGTGTTACTTTCCCCAGCTATTGAAAATTAAACGTCATGTACAACAACTCACTCACCATTACTTAATTGCATGTGGAAAATGTGTCTGCTTGGAAGCTCCGGAGGCAGAACCACAACTTATGAAACCAAAACCCAGGGCTGGGTTTAGCACTGTCAGGCAGCGGGGAGAGCATGGGCTAAGATCTTGTGGCCTGCCCTGCTGCGCCCAGCTGGCTGCAGAGCGCTTCGCTCTGCAGAGAAGGGTGAGTCTTAGCTCATCACCCATGGATTGGAAATCCTTGCTGCATATTTTGTATCGTGTTTAAGACATAAAGGCCATGTAAGTTCTCAGTCATAATTCCACTTCTCATATTTTCTGTGTAGAAGTGGATTTCAAAGCAAATAGTTGTCTTACTAATCATAATCGATAAGTATTGGAAGTACCATTGAATAATTCTTGTTTCTGTCTCTAGAGTTGGTTTTTAAAAAAAAAAAAAGTTTCTATTTTTAAATGCTGCTGCTGAGGTTGCAAACGTCTATCTTCACATTACCCAAGAGCATGCATCTTGTCACTGCTCTTGGCCTTACATTAGAGTACAGACAAGTGATGGGTCTGTTTGCTTGACCCAAGCAGTGGTTTGAATAGCAATGAAAAGAAATTCTCCCACTGAGAGAATGTCGTTAGTAACTACAGCACTGGCTCTAATGTGGGGAGAAAACTAATGTTGACTTTTTTTTTGATGAATGTTCAGCTTCTCGTAGTAAGGGGGGGCGTGTTTTAGCAAAGCCAAATTAGAGTCTACTAAAGGCCAGTTTTAAGGAGAAATGAAAATACATTTCTTTTCTCATCCAAACTATATTCCATGAGCCCATTCTATCTCGGTGCTTCCCATTCCAACATCTTAGAGCACAAAACCAGTGGATGCGATTAATGGAAAACACAAACCAAAAGACTGTGACAGTCCCAGAAGTCTTGTCCCTGGTGCAGTTTGGTAGAAAAAGCTTTTTCTTGCTTTATCAACTTACTTTAAAGCTACAATATAAAATGGGGGTATTGAAACGTCACAACTTAATGCGTTGTGGTGCCAGCTGTAGTAAATAAGAGCAGCAACAGGCATCTTGAATTTCCATCCGTCTCTTGTCCATGCGTGTGGAATAGCTTTTCCAGCTGAGAACAAAGCGCTGAGTGTAGCAGACTCAGCTCTCCTGGTAGGTTTGCTGCTTGACTGATTTCAGATATGTTCCTCTGGGCTCTAATGATGTGGAAAGAGCAGGATACCGTTACATTTGTTAATGCTTTGAAAATGAGGAGGAGCCAGTTGCAACAGAAATACTACTTTCCTCCTCCTGAGTGTTACCCACACAACTTCTTTTAGGGGTAGAAGGTGTGCAGTAATAACGTAGCCAAAACACGTCCTGGAGCACACAGTAAGAAGAGGCCACAGCTCACCGTAGCAAAATAACATGTACTGCAAAAGTTATGAGAGATGGATTTGGTCTTCATGTGCATGAAGATGTTAATATTCTAATTTCATCAGTGAAAGGCCTGAGTAGGTTATCATTTTCCAGAAACACATCGTTCTGCAGCCTAAAAAAGTTCTTGCATGCCTGACTGAACTGACCTAGGACATAAAAGCAAAACTGGTGGGACTTGGGCTATTACTTAAAAGTGGCCTCTTTGATATCCTGAGGCCTTATTTTCCTCAGATGAAGGATGCTCAGCGATAAGCATGCTGCTTTTCACTCTGAAGCAGGAAATAGCATCAAGGTTTTCCTATTTCTGGTGTTTTGGTTCATGTGCAGGGCAGGGGGATGTTTCCATGAACTCTTTAATCAGTTACAAAAGAAGCCCAGAAATTCCTGGGCACAGAAAAGCCTTTCTGTGGGAACTGTAATAGATATCATTAAATAACTTGGATTTTGTTGCGCCCAAATCTAGGAAAAAATAAGGAATAGAAGGTGTCCTCAGCCTTTTTGACTTTTTACTAAACTCCTAACTTGTTGTCTGCACCTTAAAAAATCTTTTCACACTCTTTTTATACCCAGGTAGTGTTACAATTTCATTCCCACCCTTTCCTGAAGTTTTTGCTGATGAGACATAGTGTGCAGTAAGTGTTGTGAGAATCATAGACGTCCCCTTATATTTGAAGGCTTCTCGCTCTGGTTTATGAGCATCTTTTCCTCAATTAAGTTGAGGATGATTATTTAAAACAGTTGATTTTGGCCAGATTCCAAAATATAGGTCTTAACACAGCACTGTTTCCCAGTGGTCTCATTAATTACATCAGCTTGTAATAGCATCTAAAAGATTTGCAGTTACAGTGTCACTTTTTCTTTTTTTTTTTTTTTTATTCAGTGCATCTCGTGCTTTGTAGCCTTCTACAGTAACAAATTTGAAGATATTTAACCCAGTTTATCAAAAAAAACAAAGCAGTTGCCCAAGCACGGCAAGATTTTCCTGAGATGAAATGACTCGGTCCAAGTGCTTCCTCTGATTAGTGTCCAGTCACAATTTATCTGGCCTCAGAATCTTACAGCTGCTACATTAACTTCCAAGCTACTGTGGCAAATATGGGCTGTCTTTTTGATTTCTGAATATCAGAAATAAATAATAATTTGATTGAAGCTTTCAGGGCGTATAAAGGAGTCTTGCTATGGAAACACAAGTGGAAGTCACTGGCAATAGTGTGTGAAAAGGTCTTAGTTGCCTTTTGAAATTCTTGTTCTGAGTCTCCAACAACAGGAATTAGCCAGGTAGTAAGGGACTTGTTTCTTGTAGGAGTCTCTGTGCCCTAGTTCCCAAAATAGAATGGGGTTTGTATCCACTGTGGGTTTTGTTCATGCATTGTAAGTCCATCCTTTTAAGATGCATAATAAAACAATATAATTAGATTTTACATCTGTAGTAGGAAATCCAGTTTATATCAGAATGCTCTTTTACAGTGAGAATTTTTATGATTCAGCAAATTCAATGTTTTTTCCATGCTCAATTAACTGCCTTTAATCTGTTTTGGTGCTTCAGTGTTGGTATAATAAGCAGATCAAATATAGTTTGAATGCTTGAATCAAAGTGAATGCCCCTGATTTCAAACCATCATCCCATTGTGTTCAGTTCTGTGATTCATTCTTTGGTATACCTTAATTCCTTAAAAGAAAATTATCTTGTGTTGTGATGAAACATGAGAAATGCTTTAAGAGTAAAGTACTGTAGGATTTTGCTTATTTAAATACCATCTGTTAGTTGTCCTACCACACTGCAGTCATTCATTCCGAAGCCCGCAAATCTCTGCCACCTAACCCCTCCTTCTGTTTTCAGGTGTGATTGTAAAGACTAATCTCTTGCTATTTATGGTGACATGCAAAGGAGAGAGATCCTTATACTCTGAGGACTGGTGGAACAGGGGCATTGGCTGGGTTGGCCAGATCTTGGTGCTGTTTAACACTCTCCATTGCTGTGACTTTGTCACTGAGTCTTTGCTCTTCTTTTAGAACCTCTAAAGATAAGTAGAACCTTTAGAACATAAGTAACATTGAACGTCATGTGCCAGAGTCTCAAGGACTGTCATGCTTTAGAAATTTCTTCGTGCTTTAAGTTTGTTCTAACTTACATAATTGGTCATATTTTAATAGTATAAACCCTGTTTTTACTTGCTTTGATTGTTTAGGTTCTTTCATGTGGGAAAGCTTTAAAAATAAGCTCTTGCCAGACACTGTGCGTGCAAGTTTGAACTTTTCCTGTTTTCTTCAGAGCTGTTTCCTCCTTGCTGTCATACACATGTGGGAACAAGTGCACGGTTGAGGAAGTTAAGTAATTTGGGCTCTTTCAAACCTTTGATGACCTAAGCTGCAGTTTATATGAACATTAGTTGTTCATTTAAAGTATCTGTATGCGTTTGGCTCTCACATAGTTAGGAGGGGATGGAGGGGAAATGGAGAACAAGACTGTTCTTGCGTTAGTAGGAGAGATTTCTCAAGAAGATGCACAATACAAAGGTCTTGCCTTGACCCAGCTGAAGGAAAAATCCAGCATGCCTTTTCAGTGTGCAACTTCCCTGCAGCTTCTCTTTTCCAAAGGAAATACTAGAGGGAAAACAAAGATGATAAAATATGAGATCCTGACCTGATTTTTCTTTTCTTTTTTTTAACAAGCAGGATGCAGACAATATAAGTTTTGAGTAATCTGAAGGACTTTATGCCCTGGTTTTACAACCAGTGGGAGTCAAACGGGTTACTGGGCAAACATTCACTTGGTCTGCAGATCTGTTCCAGCTACGATGTCATGCAACTGCATACAAGCTCTTGGGTTTTTCTCCTGATTCTTGATGTACTTTATATTCCCAAAAAGCATCCACATCCAAAGCTGTTATCAAATGATCTTTTAGTGTTGATGAACTGTGTAGTTGCAGATAGTTTGGCAGGAGGTTCATCGCCCTTAGTTTAGACATCTAGAGGTCATCTGGATTTCTGTGATTAGTGGAGAGTTGTCAGGAGCCTCCAAAGAGCAATTCAGTTCATCCCATCCTAAATTAGGTCATTTTGGTGCTGGAATGAATTGCCCTTCTGAGTGGAGCTGGTTTGGGATTTGTCTTGATTTTGCACTGATCATGGAAGTTTGGACACTGTCTATGACAAGATGCTCTGCTTTAGACGGGTAATGAATCTCATTCAGCATGCTCAACAAGGATTTTCTTAGCATTACGTGACAGTGAGCTTATACCATCACAAACCTGAGAGATATAAGAGTAAGTAAAATGGAAAACAGAAAATACACTCAGTGGAAGGCAGGGAACCTGAATTCAAGAATTACAAGTCTCAAGTTGATTAGCAAATGAAAAACCTGAATTTGGCTGAGACTGTGACTTCTGGTTATCGTCTCTAGAGAGATAACTTTCTGAACGTTTCATAGACCATTCCAGCTGTGTGTGACATTCCTCCAAAGTGCCAGAGACAGCTTTCTGATAAGTGCAGCACAGCGTTGCAGGGCAGCCTAGCTGAAGCCTTACAGCACACTACTTCTAACTTCCCGTCAGGCTTACTTTCTGCAGCGTGGGATGAGTAATCCCTGTAGATTTATATTTGCATATTGCTCTCTTTAGGCTTCTTTTGTGCCAGGTGTTTATGGTAGTTAATTATTAGTCAATAATAAATGTGTCTTTGCTTAAGCTATGCATCTCCCCCTTCATTAGAGGTGCAGTTGTTGGAGGAAAACATCAGAAGTTCTTCTCTTTGGTCAGTGAGAAGACAGGGAATGTCCAGGGGTCCTATTTAGACTAGAAAGGAAGTGAAATGTAGTAAAGTATGGCAATCTAATCAAATAAATCCAAAAGGGTATGAGCTTTTCTAAAGTTTGAAGAATCTTTGGCACTTAGATGTTGCTTAGATCTTGCCTCCTGTGGCATTTGCAGGGAGGAAAGATTCTTGTTTCTTTAGTATCGAGCTGTAGTTCGTGATGTTGGTATAAGCAATAGGCACTCTAACCTCCAAGCAGATCTAATTCCCATTTTCACTCAGAAACTCATCCTGAGAGGTTAGAAGCAATAAAAGTATTTGGAGGAGGAGTAGTGAATTCCTTCCCTGTTCGGTTTATATGTAACTGATGAAATATAAACAGCTCTCTGGTGCACTAGCTCAGCGAGGAGGTGGGCTGCCATCCCAGTGTCTTACACAAACCAGTATACGATCTGGAACAAGACCGGTGGATGTTTATCATTTTTGCAGATAATGGAGGGGAAGCGTCTGAGCCTCCCTGCTGTATAAATTGCATTGTATGTTGCTTTGACCCCAAGATTACGAAGCTGTGTCTTGACTGTGAAGGGTTTAGACACCTTAACCTCAAGCAATATTGAGCACTGGTAACTGAGAACAGCTTTCTCGAAGGTGGTTATGTAGCAACTATTGGCAAATACATTGAATGCTCATTTGCAGTCACTATAATTTGAATATGATGTTCAGACTTCCAAGCTGTCTGCTCCTGCATCAAAAGAAAATGATTGCTCCTTTAAGTTGTAAATAAATTCATGTTTTAGTTGAGGACACTTATGGAAGTGGAGAGCAGAAAGAGCAATTTATTATTAGATCTGTCACTTTAAAATATGTTCCCACTTTGATTCTGCTTTGAAGCATTCTCCTTTGAAGCAGCATTAAAGTATTTAAATATGTACGAGTCCTAGCAGGGGGAGATTACAAGTTGTGACACTTCGTAACCTTGGATTATTTTTTTTTTTGCATTTCTTTTTTTTTCCAAGGAATTACTGTAAGTGTTTTTTTATTGCTTGGAATAAAAACGGCCATTCATTTAAAACTGCATAAAGATGTTTGCACAGTGACTGAAGAAAAAAAAAAAAAAAAGAACATTTTTTTGCGTCTATATGAAGTAGAAACTAGTTTGTATGACTAATTACAGCCTACTTGGTCATGCAAATCATGAAGCTTCTGTCTAGCAATTTTTAGAATATTTCTTACAAAGATTTGTACACACCTTGTTATTTTCAAGTTTGCTCCTAATTGCAAGGTATGCAGCATGCATTGTAAGCTACAGAAGTGGTGTTAGTTTTTGTGCTTGTTTGTGCTTCATATAAACTATTGTCAGAAAAACCTCTAGGCTCAAGTAAAAATTGCCAGGTCTCTTCGACATCTTACATTTTCTATTTATTCTTATAGGTTAGCAAAACAACATAATTAGATCAATGTCTCATGAAGATAAGAGGAGGAAAAACATCCTTGCCTAATATGCCTTACGGGGTAAAATGTATTTGGAAACTGTAAAACGCTTAAGAAATTCCTGAGCTTGATTCTACACATTCCTCAGATTTCTGTCTTGGCCCGGTGCACCCATGTTTCTGCATCACTGGCCGCTCTGGTTCTGATCTTAGCATGGTTTCTGACTCTTGTGAGGCTTTGAGCAGGGCCTAGAGGAGAGGCTGGGAGCGAGTACAAAAATGAGCAGCACAGAACCAATTCCTTTGAATTGTGTGGCTGTTTGGTTGAAGATAAGTAAATGAATTCACCAACCTTTGCCTGCAGGATTTATCATTCCAAATGCCTGTGACTGAATTTCCCATATGCTGGCTCTGCTGAGAGCTCTTGATTTACAGTGTTGTCTCTCAGCGATCAGAACATGCTAGCTTCATGTGTTTAACTCTTGACGGATAAAATGAGACTTTTTTCTTTCAGGCACTTCTGCAAAATGTTTTTGAACACATACTGCTCTAATATTTTATTTCAGAAATTAAAGAGGAAAGGATTCTGCTTGTTTTACAGTAACCTGGAAGGTAGTAGATAGGACCAGAAATCAAACCAAGAAGACCCACTGCATGAGAAGTTGTCCTTTCATCTCAACATCTGTATCTGCAAACAGCAGTATTACTGATTTCTCCTCTGTCTGTTTTGGCAAGCAGAGGCCATGTGATAATACTGAAACTTTAGCAAAATGAGGTTTGCATCAGAAGCATCCTGGCTTCTGTGAGAGTTGTTCACGCCACAAATAAAGAGGTGCATCAGTACAGTTTTTAAAGCAAAATTTAAAAGCCTTTTTTTTCCACATGCCTCAAATTTGCCCCAAACAATATCACTGAAATTGTATTTTATGGTGGCTTTACGGAAGCCAAAAAAATGCAGAGCTAATTCCACAAGCCAAATAATTCTAAATGGCAGTTGAGGAAAAACGTTAGCAAGGCAAAATATTATTTAATAGAAAAAAAAAAAAAAAAAAGGCATTTGAAAGTTACAAAGTAATCAGATGTCAACTTAGGAATGCATTTTAAAGAAGTTAGAGGAAAAGATGCCATACATAATAAGAATCTTTGAAAAATACTGCACTTTATATGTAAGGGAAATCAGTGTTCATCTGTTTTCTTCTCCCTGCATTTTGTCAAATTTTTTCCAAGCTTTTACATTGAATCTTTTCTAAAAGACCACAGCAAATATGAACAAAAGAGAAAAAGCCATCTATTGTAGTAAAGCAGGTATTGTATTTCAGTAATGTGGATGTTGGACTATAAACAAGCAGTTTACAAACGTAGACGCTCTTAGAAGAGGTTAATGAAGTCTTAGCATTTCTGTTGATGTGAGGGACCATAAACTCCAACTGCATCCTCAGATAGTCCACACAAAATTAGTTTTCCAAAGAATGTGATGTCAGTACATCCCAGATGAAACTACTGTGGCCCCAAGAAGGGATGTGATCTGTTTGTTAACAAAGAACAAAAGCAAAAAATGATGTGATTTCTAAACTTCTGGTAAGAAAGTTACTTTTTATGCTAGTGAGAGTATTTTCTTAATGGGAAAAGTCAACTCAAAAGTCTGGCCATAATGGTTTATTGTGTAATATGTTGTTGTTTGTTTTTTCAGAAGTGAAGATGCAGTCAATCAGATGGCTGTTATTCCTTTCCCATTACCTTCCAGCTCTCACTCTTCTATTGAGGTAAGGTTTATGGGTTGTTTTTTTTAATTAGGGATTGCTAAATTAGATAGATTATCATAATTAGCAGTTCATTATAAATTTGAGCACCTTCTCTAATTAAACCCTGAATCATAAAATGCATTGGGTAGGAACTTGACCTAATAGGCATATTTTCCCCTGTCTCTTCTTTATTGATCTCATCGTTGCTGAAAGGGCTGGCATGGCATTAATGACAGGTATCAAGCAGGTTATTGCTGTACAGGAGGAGGAAAAGTCTCCATATGCCATCTCCTATGCTTCTGCTTTCTCAGCTGGTTAGTCATGGTGAGGATCTTTTGCCTGGAACATGGATATCCTCCTATGGAAGAGAAATGACTGTTTTTCAGGGGAAAGCTCTCACCTTCTGAGTTCCTATTCCCCTGGAATACCCTCCTATCAGCATCTCAAAAAATGAAATGGGGATGGCCAGCAACTCGCTGCTGTAAAAGAGGTCGCTGTATACATAATTTGCATTACAAGAGCCCCTTGAGACAATCCCAGCCTGAGAGCCCTGGTCCACCACTTTGTCCTGTGCCCCAGCATCAGGCTTTCTCATTCCCACTCGTTTCCTTCCTGGAGGAGCAGAGAAGGGCTGTTTAAGCAGTGAGCTCTAGTACACAGTGTTGCAGCATGCGGTCTTCCAATGCAAAAACTGCCTTAGTGTGGTAATGTCACCAGTGTTTTTCTTCATTATAGTTGCTATCTCAGCCCCAGTGTAGACTGATTGCTCTCTTGTGCACCATGAATCCCTGCAGTGTCACCACATCGTTATCATTTTGACATCTCGATATGGTGTAACTAAATTTTCTAGATAAAGTACGCGGTTAGCCTTGCTGTTGCTTTTTAATTCTATTTCTATTTGAGCTAATAAAGCAAAAGATGTTTTATAATTCAATTGGGTTTTGGTCTTGCCTTGAATTGATAAATTCATGTGCACTGAACTCCTGGTATTTCAATAACCATTACTGGGATCCCACAGCACTAGTCCACGCTAGGTAATGCTGGATGAATCCTCTGTTTGCACGCTTGCTGTTGCTTTCCAGATTATATTACCACTGATGGCTACTTCCGTGCAGGCATAACTGTGCAAGAGCTGCTCAGTTTTTATTTGGATCTGAGTCATTTTTGGCCAGTGCTTTGGCTTTTCGTTCTCTCCTCCATCAAAGCAGCATGTCCCAGGTGCAGCTGGTGGATCGCAAATTACTCTACAATTTACAGAGCCCGAGTTCATTTTATTTTTGTTGACTCTGTAATACCTGTATTTGTTTAATATTTGTGTCTTCAGGATGAGCCCCGAAGCTTTGTTTAGGCACATTCTGTGCTGTGGTCAAATGACTGTAATTAGACTCTACCAGCATGTGGAAACCAAAGCGCTCAGCCTCGTGTGCAGTGTTTGCCTTTAGAGGTAGATGCTTGTGGGTTGAGTTTCATGAATTAATGGCAAGCTCTTACTATTTACACTGTGTCTGTTTGCTAAGTAAATGCAGGTTTTTTCTTCTAGCTAGTATCTTTTTATTATATAAAATAAATGTAACCAAAAGATACTATTGTTGTACAGAAATTTACACTGCTTTCCTTTGTCAGCTCTTTCCATCTTTAAATAGAGCAAACCAAAACTGACTGTGCATTATATCTTGAAATTATATGTTGAAATATCTTTGATATACCAAATAAGTATTTGCCATCGTGTCGTTACATACATTGTGCGTGAAACTTGTCAGATCACATCAAGTAGCCAGACTAGTGTAACGGAATATCAGGGTGCCATAGTTACCTTGTACTGTTGTGTTAATTTTCTTCATCTTATCTCTCGCCATTAAGGTATTTTAATATGAAAAGTAATAAACAGTAAATATACCTTAAAACATGGTCTTGCATGGAGTTGCAGGACAGGATAAGACTACATCGTGGTGTAATACTGTGGGCAAGCCACCAGAAGCAAAGTATATTAAATATTACTCTCAAATATCAGTTTTTTTAAAGTTTCATTCATCAGAAAGCCACAGAATGAGGTATTTTGCTGCAATATTGAACAAAGTGAGCCTTTGTAGGAATGCAAAGGTACTTTACTTGCTGAAGTGGCAGTCGAGGCATTTACATAATTCTCATTGTGCATTTAAATGTAAAATGTCTAATGAAAATTCAGAAATAATTTTGCTTCTAGGACTGAAGATCTTGAAATTTGATTTGTTGCACATAGTCCATTTTGCTTCGCAAGAGAGAACAACTCCATATTTGGATCAAAGGCTTAAATGTATTAAAACTACTTTAAAATATAGTCAATCAAAATAATAGATTCCAGATTCAGGACCTGGGTGGTTTAAAGAAGGGAAGGAGAATTAACATGTTAAGTTTTACAAGTAACCAAATTAATGATACTCTAACCTTTAAATTCTAACTTAACATTTTCCCTGAAAATATGACATTTCCTATCTATCTTAACTTTCCCATAATTGTCGGTATAGAAAGGAAATAATTTTTCTTGCAAGTGTACACTTCTTAAATAGTGTGCTACTTATTATCTAGAGAAAATCCCAGAAAATCCCAGTCAGACAAGCTTTTCTACCTAGTATGGTCCTATTTTATGTTTCAAGGGCAATTTTTGTTGGGAATCCTCTACAGAAAGAGAAAAACTTCGCGTATGAGAAAGTTCTAAAGCACATGTTGGTGAAAATACTTACGTCTTTTGGGCTATTGCCTTCATTTGCTGGTTCTGCAGTAGCTGTCATTGAATGTCATTTGCAGTATTTTCACAGTAATGTGCAGAAGTACCTAAACCCTGAGGTTACGTTTGCACTTCCAGTTGAGGATTGTGCTCCAGTGAGCTGCTGACAGTACCCTCTAACCAGGTTTAATTGGCTTTACCAGTTGCTCCAGGGTGGAGCACTCAGTCCTGCAGCTACCGACCTGTTCAGATTGTATGGAGGAAACCGTGCTTCCTTTAACATGCTGAGCATGCACAAGACTCTCCATCCCAACAGAAGTCTGGAGAAGGCCTCTTAATACAAACTCAATAGTTTTCACAGTTGATAGGGATTAGTCTGGCCTTGAAAGTTGACCCCGATCTGCATCTAAGTGCTAGTATTGGACTACCTTGACAAATATGTGCTAGTATTGGGCTGCCTCATGGTACTTTCATGCAGCCAAGTGGAGACCAAAGTCTGTCTTTCAAAGTTTGTATCATTTATTTCTCTCCTGACATTAGGATGCTTTAATTGTGGATCTTTTTACTTTTTCATGCTGCTACTTGTTTAGAAAAACAAAAGGAAAGGTAAAACGGTCTAATTTTTTTCTTTAGCTATTATGGGGGATCATAGCTCTGTTTAAGAACTGTTATCGATCCTTTCTCCCAGGATCATGGTGGCACTGAACCTGCAAACAGCGAAGAAGACCCGAGTTTGGAAGTTGTCATGAAGAGCTTGACTGATGAGGAATCCAGCAAAGCTGTAAGTGACTTAAAACAATACTTAATGATGATTAGATCTTAGAAAATGGAGGCTTATGGGCTTGATGTGTTTTTTCTCTGCCTTTGTGTTGGAATATTACGGAACACCTTTGTCAAATAATATCTGGTACATGTAAAGGCAGGATCAAGCTCTTAACTTTACAGTCATAGACTGTTTTCATGAACTAAGCAGTCGGTATAATTTGTTAAAATATTGAGATAAGAGTTTTAGTGTAGCGTTTTGGCCCTCTCTTGAGTTCTTTCTCAGTGAGTGGATTGAGTTTCCACTCTTGACATCCGTGTGTGACAAACTTCAGAAAAAAGTGTAGTCTGTAAATCATATTCTTATTTATATTCATAGCTTCATAAATTCTAAGGCCAAAGTGTCTATTATCATAATCTAGTCTTGCCTCCTGAATAACATAGCTATAGAGTTACTCTCAGTAATTTCTACATCAAGCCCATAACTTCTGGTTTAATGTGGTACTGTCAGTGTGCACTGTAATAAATACAGAACTTCTCATTGATACAGATGGAGATTTTTGTTGTTTACTAGGTCAGGATTGTGCATTATCAGAAATCTGGAAGTCCTTCAGGGTGCAGCTCTAATCTCTTTTTTTGGACTCTGTGTTAAAAGTTTAAAATGGAAAACTACTAAGCATGCTGAAGAGTGACTAACCTAGAGGTGCATAAAATTTGCTGAGACAGTCTTTTTGTCCAACAGCCTACTCCTTTTTCAAGGAGTGCGTTGGCTGAGACTTGCTGTGCGTGCACAGTTTCTGTGTGCTGTCCTCAGCTAAGGAAACCTGTCATTTCGGGATTTCTTTTTTCTGAAATGTCTTTCTGCTCCATTGTGTCTTTTGAAAAGAGTGTCCAGGGTTTTGCAAATATGAATTGAATGTACATAAAGTTCTCTGGCTAGTAAGTATTCAATTAATGAGCCTATGAATTCCAAGAGTTAGGAAGCGTTATGTGCTATTCAAGCAGTAGGATTGACCACCCATGTAAAAAGGATTGATTTATTTTCCTAATGGATTACAAAAAAGTTGGATTATTTGTATTTGGTAGCATTGTGCAGAATCTTCCTTTGATGTGCTGAATGAATCAATTTTATTGTATGTATTCACAGGTGTAACTCACCTGGTTTTATTGCTGTTCTTTCTCACTTTGGCAAGAAACTTTTGAGGGATTATATGTTAATGTGAAAAATTTCTCAAAGACTGAAGTGGATAAAATATATAAAATGTATTGTACAAAAATGAACTCTTGGTGTAGGATATTGTGCAGTGCAGCTTTCTGAAAGGTATTAGAAAAAGCACAAGGTTAAGGTGGGGGAGGATTCTGCAGCAATCCAAGATCAGTGTAGAGGGAAGATGCCACTGCAACAAGGAACCCAGAACATATTGGCAGCTTCTCTTCAAAAAAAGAAAGGAACTGTGAAGCCGAAGGGTGGAAGTTACAGTCTTTTAGACTGAAATGTAAAAAAAAAAAAAGAAAAAGATAAAGCATTGGTGATAAGAGGAGACAAAGTCATGGATTTGCTGAGGGCCTGTAGGTAAGGAGAACATCGGTAGAGTACTTAGGTTTTCTTTCCCGCTTTTACGAAGTTACGTCATCTTTCCACTTAAATTGTTCATGTAACAGCAACTGGCTGCTACAATTTACTTTTTATTTTTGGAATTCAAAATGTTTTATCCAGCAGGCCTGTATTATTATCCCCACTGTGGCACGGAGGGGGAGTGACCTGTCCTGGGTCACTGGTGAGAGCAGGAGGTCAGAGTGTGTCACTTCTGACTGCTGTGTACCCCTGCCTTCATCCAGTGGATATATGCTCAGAAGTGATTTGCTAATCTTGCCATTAAATAGATAGTGAAAAGTTAAGGGCTAAGAGATGGGTTTAGAAAAGTATTCGAATGCCTATAGACCCAACTGCTCATTCCCTAAAGCCGTCGGTTGGGCCAACCCTTGGTTTAGAGGCTTAAATGGATGAAAAATAGTGGCGAAAGCCAGTTTCGTAATTTCAGTTTTCTTTCGATCAGGATTTTAAAACTACATGGCAGATCTTTTTAAGTGTATCTTATTTTTGTAACTGCTGATGGTTGTGATCAGTCCCTTCTGACCAGAAGGAAATGGGTTTGTAGTGATACTGACATTAAGACCTCAACATTGCAGTGCGGCACAAGGCAGCTCATTATTTTGAGGAAAAGAGATTTCTCTTGTAGTCTTTTAGTGACTGTTGAGGCAAAAGAAAACAGTGCCTTGTTTTTCATAGCATGATGGTTGCTACTAGAGCCTAATGCTACTTCACTGTTATTGAATTTCTCAGTCATATGTCAGGAGAAATCAGGAATGTAAAAGTCAACAAGTAAGATCAAGTTCAGTGAGTAAATAAAAAGTATGTGCTTATCAGCAGAGATCTTCCACAAGTATGTACAGCTAAAAGCAGGGGCAGGATGTCTCACCAAGTGACAGCTGTAATAAAAAAAAAAAAACAAAACCAAAAAAAACCCCACCATCATTCTCTATTCATTTTTTGCTGATAAATTTGTCATTCCCAAGATACTTTTTGTTATCACTTCATCACTTTAAAAATTACAAAGTTACATAATGGACATCATTGTAAACTTGGATGGAAAGAGAGGGGAAAGAAAACAGCTTTATATTGGAATTGGAGCCAATGGAAGTGTTAGGCAAAGTCTGCATGCTTGTTAGCTGAGGTTTGGGGTGGCCTGATAGAAGGTCGTGGTTTTCTGAGGACTGTGGCTATCTTGCTTTCCGCAAGACATTGTTGGAAAAGAATTGATGCATGGGGCTTTGAGGTGCTCTCAAAACTTTGAACTTTACAAAGGTGAAAAATTGCTTGAGCGGTGATTTTGTGTGCTCTGAAGCACTTGGCATCATTAGTGTCCTGGCAGAGCATGTACATAATTCAGTGTCCTATAGGTGGGATAATTAAACTGATGTTTGGTATGTAAGAATGGATTAATTTTCCTTAAAAAAATTTGAATTTGGAACAATAATTTGTCTTTACCACAAACAGAAAACATGTCCTTGAAACATGGGCAAAGAGGAGGGACTTCATAAAAATGCTTTTGGATGCATTTGAGGGAGTTGAATTAGATTAAACCAGTCAGGTCACAGGCTTATGGCAAATGCTGGGTGCACAATTCAGGGCTTGAGGGGCTGGAAATCTTTTTATTTTGTTCAGGTACCTCTAGCACAGTCTGAGTTAAATGGAGAAGATTAGAGAGGTTTAAAAGTGATGCTTGGTGCTCCCTTGATTTGCAAGATGAAGTTTCAGAATTTAGTCACATATCAGAATGAAAAATGGAAGTATGAAATAATTTTTCATTGCTTATTAAAACAATCTCTCATAAAATGACAAAGCTGTCTTCCCATTTCTCCCCTGACACCTCTGATAATACAATGAGATCACCACTTTATCTTTTTTCTTGTTATCCATTTGGATAATAGTTACAGTAGGCTTGGAGAAAAATGCAGGGGAAAAAAAAGCAGCTTGTGGGGCTTGACATGATTTAACATAATAAAACTCTGGGAAACAAGTCCAGTATTTTCAAGCTCAGTTACCTAAAATTTGATAAACCTTTTTTTTTTTTTTTAATGTATGAATTGTGACCTTAATTAGAAATTCTTTTGATGTGCAGAATATCTCTGTTGTCTTTTGAAGCTGGTACTCAGCTTTTCTGAAAACTAGGCTGTTTATCAAGTTGTTTTAACATGGGTAAGACAACTAACTAATGCTGTGATCACAGAGACCTAAGTTTGGCTAAGAACTAACAAGGGAGAGGACCCTGTCTGGAAGCAGTTGTAGGAGAGAAAAAGATTTTTTAGTGAATTGCAAGGATACAGAAAGAAATTAGGATACAGGAGCCCATGACTGAAGTGTCATTGTTTGAGATATTTGTAATGAGGCTGGATGATGCGTTTGAAGCAATTATTTTAGTTAAGTGCTGGCAGCATGCTCAGTGCTGCTGAGGACTACTGAAAAAGGAAGGGGGAAAGAGAGGACAGATGACTTTGAAGCTCTTCCTGCTGTAGGCACCAAAGGGTCTGTACTAGAGTTCCCACACACGTATCATCACATTTCCACACAGTGTGGAAATTGCTGTCCTGGTCACCCCAGAGGAGGCACTTCATTCTTCTTTAGAGCTTCCTATTTCTCAGGAACAATATAAACCATGCATGATGATCTCCTCAAAAAAATTCCCTTCCTTGCCTTGTATATCTCCAAAACTGTTGGGTATGTTTTTAATAATTCCTGATATTCCCTCTATTCATATCAGCTTTTCCTCTTTCAAGTTCCAGGCTTTAGCTTTGTGTTGTGCTACAGATATGTGAAGAAATATCACTGTGTTTGCCTAGAATCATCATTCTGAGTTTTGGAGGATATTTTATTTAAGCTAATGAGACATTTTCAATACACCGCACTTTCTTTTTTGTCTTTTTAGGATGTGAAATGTAAAGCTGACAAGCCAGTGGTGGTGGTGGATCAGCAGGAGATAGAGGAGCAGCTCCCCGAAAATGTATGTGTGTTTATATTAACCGATAAGGTGGGGTTCTGGGGGCTTGATCTAGTGGAAGATTGAGTGATTTATGGGGGAAGGGGTTAACTGAGGAGACACTAAAATAATTTTCTTGGTGGAAACTTCAAAAAGTACTCGCTTCCCTTTAAGTATGTGGAAATAGTCACACAGGCTAATGTCAAGGATGTTCTTTGCTGTTTAAAAGTTAAAGAAAACCCCAACAAAACAAAAAAAAACCCCACACAAAACAAAACAAAAAAAAACAATGAACCCACACTGTTTGGTGAAGTCCTGCCCGTTTCCTTCATGAGCATTTCTGAAAGCACAGTTATCCAGTCATCCCAATTTTTCATTTATTTATTAAGATAATTCTTCAGTTTATTTATGCTTATTGCTTGTTTCCCTTCTGTTGATTTAGTGGATTTAGTAAGGTACTATAACCAACAACTCATGATAATGTCCACATAACATGCCTTTCTGTGATTGATAACTGATCTCTTCTGCTTCTGCTTTGCTTTTAGGTCCTCAACCAGATCAAACAATCCAAATCTTCAACAAAAGCACCAGTCAACTTACAGGAGATACCCCTGGTGCCAGCACCTACGTATCTTTCTCCAGAGGCAGAAGTCACCAACTGTAGTATGAACTAGTTATTTTTTCCACCAGTATAGTCTATATATAGTACCCTCACCTAGGATGTTTTTGTCTTTTTTTTTTCCAGCTAACTTCTGCTAAAATTTTTTATTTGAACATCCAATGACCTATTTTAAGTTATTTTATAAAGTGGGGGGGGGGGGAGGTGTTGTTCCCCTTTTAAATTAAAATAGAAGGAAAGGCAGTGTGGGACATCCTGTCCATTCCATGGTGCTGGAACATGGCCTTATCTGTCCTGAATGGAATACACCTTGCCATCGTGATCTGAATTGTATAGGTTAGAACTGAATTAGATGTCCTCCCAGACATTTACTTCCAGAACTCAAGTAGATATGATTTACAGGCTTTAGAAGTGACTCAGAGTAGTCTTCTAGTTCAGTTTAGATTGGTAAAGATGAAGAGCAAAATACAAGAGCTTAAATAGTTGCTCTCACACAATTCCTTTGATGATTTTCATTATCTCACTGAATAGTGTTACTTATTTCTTTACCTTTTCATGTTCTTAGGCATCTTTCCACCTCCACTGCCTGTGGATCCAGCAACATGCCCTATAGTTCCAGGGAAGGAGATGACTATAGAGATATCCAAGGGTCGGTCAGGCCTAGGGCTCAGCATCGTCGGGGGGAAAGACACTCCGCTGGTGAGTTTCTGTTAAACTAATATTTACTGTCTCTGTTAAAGAATAGGAGACAAAGAAAACGTTAAAAACTAATGATACCATTCATCTCTAATTGCTCTATTGAGTTGTTCAGTACAGGGAGCAGAAAGCAGCTACTACGATCTCCAGTAATAAATTGATCATTTTGCCTTGTATCAGATCAGTTGGTTTCTGTCCCTGTTTAAATTGAAAGGTTTGCGTTTCAGTAGTGCTTTCTGCTACAGTCAGAGTTTACAATTAGGCATTCTTTTTTTAACTGTCTAACCATTGTGAATTGAGAGTTTCATACAGGTAAGTTACCAGAATGGTTGGACTAGAAATTAATGTAACAGAGGTAAAGCTACTTCAGCAAGGTTAACGCCTCCGTCTTGAGAACATAAATGCTTAGTAGCTGTTTCAACAAACTGTGATTTATCTCCTTGCCAGCAAAAGCCCTTTCTGAACAGAGGTAAATCAAAGGTAATCTTTTATTGTTTTCTGTGTCTTTTTGCTTTATCTTGCTCTCGGCTATGCTGTTTTCAAAAAAGTTATCTTCAACTGAATTAAAAATGTATCAGTTCAAGTGTAAACTCAGCAAGTTAGTTATGCTAAACCCTTCTCTGCCTCTGCTGTTGCTGTTTCCACTCCACTTCCCGTTTAAGAGATGCTATGTTACAGTATAACAGAATGTCAGATTGTTTTTTTAAATGTCAAATTCAGTTCTTTCAGTAAATAAGTTTGCTGCAGAGGTGTCTTTACTGGGTTCTCCTGAATCCCCTGCCGCAGAGACACTGAAGGCAGTAGAGCTGCTCCCAAAAACATCATGGTGGTGCATCCTTAAGCAATGAAGAGCTGTGAGTGTCAGCAGCTACAGAGTGTTGCAATGTAGTAATCCCTTTCCAGACCAAGAAAAAAGAATCAAAACAACCCGAGGAAGCTGAAAGGAAAAAGAAAACTTTGTTTTGCAAGATGTAGGCTGTATCTTTTACAGTATTAAAGCTAAAACTGGAAAAGGTTCAGCTATTGGTCCCATTTATCCATGTCTCTGATTATGTAGAGTTTGGATGAATTGCTCTGTTTCGCATGGAGATAGATCTGAGTTATGTTGAAGGTTTAAATCACCCTTGTATGGTTTTCATCTGTCCAGCCATGGGCTCTTTTGTACCCAGTCCCTTTTTTGTCAGTCTCCTCAGTGTTGAGTAAATTCAAATAAGTTGTTCATGGTTAGTCATCTCTCTGCTTTTTCATTTAACTGGAATTTGGAAATAATACATGGCAGTCTGTCAGATGCAATCTGGTACATGTCTTTCATGAGATTTTAATATAAATAAATGAAAATTATAAATATCTGCTTTGCAGAGCAGATGAGAAAAACGCAAAGGATTTTATTCTTTAAAATGAGTAAATGGTTTGGATTAAGTATTATACTTTCATTAGTTTATTCATTAAAGTGTCCTCCTAGGAATTTATTTTAAAAACCTATGCACTTGATTGCAGTAACTGAAACGCATGAACAGAGGGAGGTCTGACTTCTTCTCACATTTCTGATTCCTGCATTACAGGGCCTATGAAAAAGATTCCCAGTTTCCTTTCCTATTTCTGAATCTGCTCATTCAAAGGCAAGCAATGTTGTTTCATAGGAAATGTGTTGCTTTTGCGAGACCACAGCTAATCTGAGCGCTTGCCACATGCAGAGACTCTCTCTGGGATTCTCCATAATTTGCTTATCCCAAAACGGTGCGTGCAAACCCTGTTCCTCAAAGCAGGTAGCCAGGATTGTGTCTTTAGCTGGTGGGATCATCATCACTCTGTCTACTTTGTACTACTGATCTCCCCCAAATTATTTTGATGCCTGCCTTTTTTTTTGCCATGAAGTCAGAAAACCTTTTGTGGAAGAGTTGAAATTAAGTTCACATAACATAATGAGGAGGAGAAAAAGAAAATACTCCTCAGGACTGTAAGAAAGTTTCTGTCTTTCTGAGTTTCATAGATTAGAGAGGAAATATAACAAAATAGGGACATGGGACTGAGTGATGTCTTGCTCTGTAATTCATTTTTAACCCAGTTATATAGATAGACATCTTTTATACTTTAAAAAAGGCAAAATAAATTGACTTACAGCTTCACTGTTTATGTATGTGTTGTGCTCATAAGCCATAGAAGTCCATCAGTTCTGAAGGTCTCATATGGCAGAAATTGTGTATCCAAGACCCACTGTTTTCTGCAGGGCAGAGAAATTAAACCGAAGCTATAATTGTCTTCAGCAGTTTGGGTTTGGTTTTTGAGCTATTTTTGAAATGGGAATTGTCAGATCAAAGTCAGAAAGCATGGGAATAGCAACATTTGTAGCCTGTCTCTGCAGGCACGACACAGTCTCGTAGTTCAGATGGCTCACACAGATGATTGAGGTGAGATGCACTCATGGGACCATGGAAATATGCTCCATCAGGGATGGGAAAAGGCATGGCAGAATGGGGGGGAATCTGTGGGAGCAGTGTCTGGGTGCTGCACAACTGCAGAGATTTTTTCTTTTACGGTTTTGTCCTCTGAGAATACAAGGCATGAACACCCATCTCTGCCTCCTTTTTCTGCTGAGTATCATTATTTCTTACCTGCAAAGGTGTGTAAGTGCCTACGAAACAATGAAATATATGAACCCTGGTTCCTAGGATCTCAGAAGTAATTTATCAAGAATGGGGGACACGGGGAGGCTGCTCCTCAGATTTGTCAAACCTGGAGTGGCTGTGACAAGAGTATAAGGGCCTCATCTATGTGGTATTAAAACACACTTGATCTAAAAATGCTTAACTGAGTGCTGGTAGTCAACGCTGATGCACAACAGCAGCTCACATGTGATGGGAAAGTTCACTTCAGAATATTTTGGATCTTTCTTGAACGCATGATGTACAGTCCCAGCTTTTGGAGTAATAAATCTGGCAACCCGCTAAGGGGACGCTCTGCTTCAAAATGAAATATGAAGTGCAACTTTTAAGTCATAACCTTAGGAATCTCATCAGAAATCACCAAGTAGAGACTTGAAAAATACGGCCTGTGAGCAGGGAGGTTAATTTGTTCAGGAGGCTGGAAAGTGATGTCTTAACTCCTGTGAAATGTTTTTTGTTGAGAAGATGACCATCTCATTAAACTTGCAGAACCTTTCAAGTTGCTTTTATTATAAGCAAGGGCTGAGGCTGTGTGCTTAAGGGAGCAGGAGAGCATCAGCTGGAAAGACGTGCTTGTAGAGAAGGCATGGAGAAGGAGGGATTGTCCTTGAGAGTTGTCTTCGTGTTTTTGATCTTTAGACTGCTATAGCCCTTAAGCAGTCCTGTTTCATTTTATTCTAAGAGTTGATTTTTATTTTTGTTTTTTCTTCACTGTCTTTTATTTCACCTTCCCATCTACCCCTGAGAGAACACAACACATGGCCTCTGCTTTAAAGCAATTAAACTGCAGAGTGGAGCTGGCTGAAGTACAGGGCTTTCAATTTGTGAGATTTTTTTTTTTTTTTTTGGTTGT